TATAAAACGCTTTATAAGTTGTATTAACGCGATTGCTTTCCCAACATCAAGCCTGCCTAAGGCAATTTTGCCAACGAGCACCAGCGTAGCTCAGTGGTAGATTTCTGGGCAGGCAACCAGTAGGACCCGAGTTCGAGCCCCACTGTGTCTTTGGTGCTAGGTTTGACAAGTCACAAGCACCGGCATGCTTAGTGTCGAATACTGGGCTGGCACCCAGCAGATCCGAGTTTCGAGCCCCATTGTGTCTTTGGTGCTAGGTTTTTTTTTTTTCTCATTTCGCACGATTTGGTTACAGACACCGCCGGGGGCGGACAACTGTGCATGACCCGAGTTATGATCTCATAAGAGCTTTCTCTGTAAAACTCTCTCGTGACAGCTTGAAGCCCCTTCCTGTTCTTGGGTGCCTTTCTGCATGACACCTTTGTACAGCACTGGAAGTTACTTTAAATGGCTCTTTGCCACGTCACATCAATGACGTTTAGTTATTCACTGAAGGTTATGTGCCCAACAGAGAGCATTCCACTGCTGGAATTTTTCAGATTGGTTCATTAAAAGCAGAGATGATAAATATTTTACCTCCTCGCATCATAAGTCAAGATGAGAGAAGGTAAGTAAGCTTCCCACCTTGTCACTTGCAATGTCAAGTCCTTGCGAGTGAAACTTCTTGCCTAGCATTCTACCTTACTGCCGCCGGAGGATCATGCGAATCCTCACCACGTCACAATGCGTGGGGACGACGAGCTCGCATTCTTTTGCTGCAGTTCATGCTGTGCTAGAGTGCCTCCTTCATATCCTTGCAGCAAGAGGCAGAAGAACGTGTGGGGATCTCGCCATTTTAGTCTTCAGGGCCAAGCAGGGTAGCGACGGCTGCCTGCGTTCCTAGCCGCCAGGCGGGAGGACTCATTCTGTTTTTGCACATGCCTCAAGCTCTAAGCATGAGCAGTGCGAGAAGCGCAGCAATGTGACTAACAAGTGATGATGATGATGATGGATGAGGATGATGCTACATCCTCCTCACCCAGTTTTCTGTATGGCGTACATCAAGGCTGGCTGGTGCACAGCACCTTCAATTACGCAGTGAAGTTGGTGTTGTACGTCATTTTAAAGTGGAGACGACTTCCACTTGAAATTGAGCTTATGGGGTCTTGAAAGCTGGGTTAATCGTAGCCTTGGACATTGAAAATCTCGCTGTATATTTAGGTTTTTATGCTGATTTGGATTATGTAATTAGTTTGATAGTAAGTTGCACAGTTTTTGTTTTATATCGCAACAAAGTATAATGTATAGCTCTTTTCGGACGAACGTTTTCTGCCGCTAAACTTTTATAGTTCTGAATCACTAATGGCTCATATTGCTCTACCTTAACTGTAAAATACAGATAACTATCAAATGGATAAAAGCAATTTTAATGGACAAAAAATTGTATTGGGAAAATTCTTAGAATCCTCAGCCCATACCAATTGCTGGCTTTAGCATTGTAATAATTAGAAGGGCAATATCAAGTGTTAAAGGAAATTTCGGCACTCCTTTTCACATGTTAAAAAATATGTGGGCAAAACTTTATCCTGATCCAGAAGTACCGAAAATACTGTTTTCCACACTCAAGAAGATGCCTAGAAATGGGTTTGAAAAAAAAAAAAAACTCAATTAAAAGATATAAGTGAAAGGTCATCTATGCTGAAAAGATTCGTTTTTTCAAGAGGATTTCTTCCATCATGTGAGCTTGGCAATCATTGTTATTTTGAGCCTGTGGCTTTATAACAAGCAGCCAGGGGGCGATTTCCAAGGGACTCAAGGCAGTTAGCACTTTTTAGTAGCCACCTTGTGCTCTTCAAAAGCAATTTCGACCTACTTTCAGTTTAATTGCGATTTTCAATTTCTTTGTAGAGAAAGTATAGAAGCTAAACTTGTGAAAGCTAATAAAAACAAAAATAGGAAATTTCTGAAAAAAGACTCATTTTTTTATTCGCATCTCCCCTTAATTGGCGGCAGGCACAACCTTCAGTGTTCTACGGAAGCATTGTGCTCAAAATGGCTTCACCTAATCAGGTGCACTGTCTTTTCACATTTCCCTCCTGTAGGGTCAATGATGGGCTGGTACATTATAATTTATTTGTTTAGGAATACCTCACAGGACCCAAAAGAAGTATAAGGTGTGGGGCTTTACAATACAATTACAAACACTATACAATTGACTCTCATTAAACCGATCCTGAAGAGACCAGTAAAATGTGTTCTGTTTAACAACAGTTCCATTTACTCAGAGATGAACAGGGGCACGCAATGCAAGAATGAAACCAATCTTGTCAGAAGCATTTGTTCCATTTAAGCAGCAGCTCCGTTAACAGATATGCTTTTACTGAAAGTCTACTGTATATTGCATATATAAATGCATTGATGATTTCGACAAAGTAAGTAAAAAAAGTATGAATTTCCGAACAGTGCAGTTGTTAGAAGAAATATGAAAGAAACTAAGCTCAGTGTGTGGAAAAATGTTCAACTAAGGCAAAAGTGTCATGGCGTTTATGCCACGCAGTGTTATCCTATAGGCTGGTCCAGGGATGAGTGGTGTGAGTAAATGGTGTAAAATAAATGACTGAATTGCACTATATAGACAGTTGTAGTTGAGAGTGTTGTGCAATCTTTGCGATGGGCATACTTGATGAGTCATAAGAAGTGCAATGCTGGCATGTTTTTATTGGTCGTGCCACCTGTTGAATCTTTCCAAATGCTCATATATTTGTTCCACGCTGTGTGAGTACGTATATGGAAGAGCAAGGAGTGACCTTGCCCACACATCTCTTCTGGGGTTACATTTGCTGCATGGGCACTAGTATCTTCGACTGAGCACAAATGGGGTTACAGACACAAAGGTCGCTCTGCTGTTGATACGGTAGAACTGCTACCCTGAAAGCATGCATGACAAACCAAAACTATGTGAAAGAAAGGCAAACCCACGCTACTTTGTTCTGACACATCATATTCCGGAGTGTCCTTACGCACAATTTTCATCGGGATGTGCAAGAAGTTGATAATTTCAATATTCCCAAAACCAAGCTGATGTTGAAAGTGTATTATACGGCCAGAAACACCTATTTTCAACCTAGAGCAAGCAATTACTATGGGCTGAGGACTCTAAGAAATCTTGCATTACAATTTTGTTTGTCCATGAAAATGTTTTATATGCACTCTTTTTATAGTTATTTCAATTTTACATTTAATGTGTATACAAGCCATTGATGGCTCGTAGCGACAAAAGCTTAATGGCATGAAAATTTTGTCTCAAATATTTCGCACATAGTCGTTGCAGGAAATGAAAACTGTGCTACTTACTATAAAGTTGATTACATATTTGAAATCAGCATAAAATCTCATATCTAGGCTAAAAGTTTATGTGCCCTAAGTGACAGATTAACAAGACTTATTTTTTTTCAATTGCATCACCCCTTCAAAATCGGTTCATGCTCTGATTGTTTCATTAACGAAGAGAACCCGTCCTCGCGGCCTTTTGGTTCAAGGGAGTTGCCACATTTTGACACTTTAGTAATATCATCACTTTTTGAAAACGATTAGCTTTTTATACACATTCTTCGTATTTGTATTGTCAGTGTGATAAGATCTATGGGAAGCATACATATAGGTGCAATTGAGTTCTGTGGAGACGTGCAAGGTGGCAGGAATATAAAAAAGGGAAAATAACATGTACTTTTTTTGTCTGTGCCACAGACAAGTGGTTGTCTATTTTCCTCTTATGACATGATAGTCATCAAGGTAAGCTTGAGCATAATATAACACTCTGTTCTTTATAATACCACGCAATGATTATTAGCACACCAAAACAAAAATGACAGTATCTATGGCAGCCAAAGCTCCCGTCACTGATTGCAGATGACAGTGACACGTACTGCCTCATTGGGCTGCCTGACCACCCATATGCATCATACCGCGCTCCAAGGTACTTCTCGCATTGTCATCTCATGCACAGTGCACTGCGCAAGAAACATTTTGGGCACAATAAAGAAGTGAACGCTAAAGCAGAGTTCTTTCTGAACTCTCGAAATGGAGAGTTCTACTGCAAAGGCCTGCGACATGGTCATGCATTGTTGACAGGGGAAGGGTTTCATTTTTATGCAGAGAAAGAATAAACTTCTGCTACAACTTCATTTCTCTGTCTTTCTCTCTTCCAATATGCTGACATCATTGCTGTGACCACCCCTCATATTCATCCAGCAGCTCGAATAATGCCGTAGCGTATGTCACTGTTGTGAATTCACCGTGTATATTCTGTTATGCTCTGTTATGTTGTGCATACAGCATATGTTTTTAGGCCACTATAGAGCTCATTACATGCTACCATCATAATAGAAAGTCCCTGTAAATGCCTATTATCTGTCCCTTCTGCTACTGAAAACCGCAATTATCAACAGCTACGAAAAATATGTTTTTAGGCCACTATAGAGCTAATTGCATGCTACCACCATAATAGAAAGTCCCTGTAAATGCCTATTATCTGTCCCTTCTGCTACTGAAAACCGTATTTATCAACAGCTACGAAAAACAGTGTTGACACATGCATTGTCATGCCACCTGCTTCCTACAGACATCCCTGTGGTCAAATTGCAAGCATGGCCACTCCTCAAAAGTGACAAAAGCGCTGGTCTGAGTATCTCCAAGGCTGCACAGGTTCCAGGCACCTTGTAGGCACGTTGCGAATAGCATTGAAAGTTAGGCTAGTTGGTGCGGTTACATGCTAGGTTACAGCACGAAAACAACAAAGGCTGAAAACAGAGGGGACACAATGAGCTTTGTCTAGCAACAGAAAGTTTAATTTGAAGAACACAAAAACATGAAAAAAAAAAGCATATCACTATTGCACGGAAATGTTAGACAGCATTCGTTTGTGTCTCTTCTGTTCTTAGTCTGTCGTTTTTGCTCTATAACGAAAAAATGCATGCTGCGATTATACACAGGCAGTAATGCACTGTGCTCTATTTGTGCAGATTCAAGAACCACTGGAAGGCATCATAGAGGTAATTGGTGAAGTCACTGCTAAGTCAGAGATTGTCTGCGAAACTTATGTGCTCTTTCCGCCTGCAGTGATGAAGAACTTTGGTAAGCACATGCTGCTTTGCATGATGGTGTTGTTGAGTTTTGCCGACGTGTTGTGATGGCTCCGGCTAAGTGACTAAAGAAGTTTGATTAAAATAAATGCGAAGAATTTTTTCTGTGTATCTATGTATCTAGATCTGTGTGTCTAGATCTGTGTATCTATCTATGTATTTATCTGCCTACGTCTGCGTGCTCTCATAGTCACCTCCTTACTTTGGGGGTACACCAAAATTAATATGGGAGGGTAAGATGGTTTCACGAATACGACTGACTGGTCATGACATGAATAATGTCACAATTTCATCGCGTACATCATCAAACACTTTCCAAAAAACAATTGCACATATTCATGGGGAGGGTATGTGCCGCAGGTGGATAGATATATCTACCCAGTAACGGTGAGAACACATCTGGGTAACTAATGTTTGAGGGTTAAGAAAATGTTGTCATAGGCAGCGTTGATCGCACTAATGCCAACAATAAATGTCAGTGTCTCAGCAAGAATCGAACCCTAGCATTCTGCCTGGCAATAAAGCATTCTGTCACAGAGCCACGGCAGGCCTCGGATATTCTTTTCAAATAGACTCTAATCTGCATGTAATATCAATTGTGCTTGCAGTACTGGCTATCCAATTTACATTACATGTATACTCCTGTTATACAGCTCTTATGTCGGGTTAGCGTCCACTGAAGTTGATTTATATAGCATTTGAGGGCTACCATCCTCGCGCGCTCCTGTGCAAACACTAGCGTTACATATCAGCTTTCTGCTTCTGGTATTGCTAATATCCATGTTGCTGTTGACATTGTTACACAACTGTAAACAACTGCTAATACAACACATATGCAGCTGTTTAACGTATGTGTGTGCATGGATATGTATATATATTTAGTGCCACTTCATAAATATAGTGCAATAAAAAGAAACACCGTAGGGTCATCTGCGCAAGCAGGTGTTTGGTGTGTAGCAACACTACGGACCCGAGCTAATGGGACGCTTTCGACTCCCTCCCACGCCTAGCTGTACATGGCTGAGCATTGTTTGAAAAAAGGTGATCCTGGGGGTTAAGCTGATTTCAGGTGATTTGACATTTGAGGCCCCCCAGTGTAGGCAACACACCCAATGGCCTCGGCTTCACTTAGACAACACTCCTGGGCGGACCCACCCAGGGGAAATCGGCAGTCTTTTTTTTTTCTTTCTCTCCTTACGTCTTTGTCCTCTTCTCCACTTTAAACCTATCCTGTCTTCTTGTCTTATTTATTTACTTCATTGTTTCCTAGGTGCTAAGGTCAATCCTGTGTGGCTATCCTGCCTAGCGTAAACCATATTCGGTTGTAGCAACAGCTTGCTGCTGGCGTAGCGCAGACTTCACATGTTCTGGCACGTCCCCTTGTTAGGCTCCGTGGCGGGTGGTAGGCACCGCTGCCGAAAAAAACAATTTTTCCTGAGACGTTTGGACCATCCCGTAACCGATTGTGCCTCCAAAGAGGTGTGCATCAATGTAGCATCTCTTTTCTCCCTAAAAACATAGAAACCTTCCCAAAATACCATGTACTTTATTGTGAACAACCCTCAAGCAAAGCCAGAGCAATTTCACCTTTTCTTGTAGCCAAGTGTCTAAAAGACACCTTTGGAACTCGCTATGAGGCTACGAAGATGGCAAGTGGGGATATTCTACTTGAATTAAAAAACAAAGAACAGTTCAACAGACTTTCACACCTCGTAGCTTTTCGTAATATCCCCGTATCAGTAAGTGCACACCGTATCATGGACACAAAGTGTGTATAGTAAGGTAAAACTTGAGAAAGCAGAAGAGGCCTTGCCGAGATGACTGCAGCGTAGCAGCCAGTTTACTTTCCAATTTGCTTTGTGACTAAAGAACTGGCCCCCTCAAAAAAGTGTGACTGTTTCTAAAAGCGTATTTTTCAGTATAAATAACATTTGGGCATCATGACGAATGCTTTCTGTAAAACTGTAATGACGAAATGCTACAGCACATGCCAGATCGCGAGAGAAAAATAACTCCGTGCCTTCAACAACGCTGTGCGTCGTCTGCTACAGAGCGAAATCGATGGCCCTGGGTGTGTAATTGTAAAGCCGTCGCTGTTTTCATAGCATAACATTCATGTGTACTTTTTGTGTGCTTGCACAAGGTTTTTTTTTTTCAATGTCTCAGGCTTTTTTTTCGGTTGCAAACCTGCAATCTCTTGAGTTTGCGCATGTTGGCGCATGGCATTCGGTGCCAGAGTTATTCATTCACACGAGTTACAAAACTGCGTTCCGAAATCTGGACACGCAGTTGGCCCAACTTTTCAGGAGTTAGCCTACGTTCGCGCCACCTGGGAGCGGCAACGCAAAACAAAAATGCGTTTATTAGAGGGCACGTACATCAACACGTGGCACGACAGTCTGTTCATTCCTGACAAAGGGGCCAATGACGTGTCCGGATTTCAATACTTAAAGCCTATAGGGAGTTTCCCAACCCATATAATTGAATAACTCTGTTCCGTGCAAGTTGTTCTCCGCCATGGAGCCCGGTGAGGTGACATCGGAATGCAATCCTTTGTTGCCGTACGAGCCTTGTGTTGCCTGGATGGCCACACCACCAAGGAGCTTCAGGAAAAACAAGAGTGGCCTCATTCTGAACAGTGATTCACGCAACATGATCTTCCACTGCTATACGTACTGGCGCAACAGGGAGCCTGAACGCAGCGTGGAGGACACGGGCAAGTTTGTCGCCGACATGCTCGGTGTCGGGGAAAGGACTGTGTTCAGGGTGAGGGAGGAAGTTGAAGCTTCGCAATTTTCAGGTGGCAAACTGACAACGCCCTCGCGGACTCGCTCACACAATGCGGAGGAGAGAACACGCAGCGCAAAACTTGGCAGCTTCACGTTGTGCACGCTGAGGTCATGTGTGCACGATTTCTTTTGCTGCAACGAGGTACCGACGATTGAGGAGATAACGAATCTTTGCATTGGAGCTTGCTGTCGCAAGTCTTTTCTGTTAAAAAACTTGTTAGTTGGTTTCATCCACGCACGCTTTTCTGATTTATCTTGGTAGTGGTGTTGGGAAAGGACTTTGTTCAGGGTGAGGGAAGAAGCTAAAGCTTCGCAATTTTCGGGTGGCAAACTGACAACGCCTTCGTGGAAGCGCTCACACAATGCGGAGGAGAGAACACGCAGCGCAAAGTTTGACAGCTTCACGTTGTGCTCGCTGAGGTCATGTGTGCACGATTTCTTTTGCTGCAACGAGGTACCGACGATTGAGGAGATAACGAATCTTTGCATTGGAGCTTGCTGTCGCAAGTCTTTTCTGTTAAGAAACTTGTTAGTTGGTTTCATCCACTCACGCTTTTCTGATTTATCTTGATAGTGGTGTTGGGAAAGGACTTTGTTCAGGGTGAGGGAGGAAGTTAAAGCTTCGCAATTTTCGGGTGGCAAACTGACAACGCCTTCGTGGAAGCGCTCACACAATGCGGAGGAGAGAACACGCAGCGCAAAGTTTGACAGCTTCACGTTGTGCACGCTGAAGTCATGTGTGCACAATTTCTTTTGCTGCAACGAGGTACCGACGATTGAGAAGATAACGAATCTTTGCGTTGGAGCTTGCTGTTGCAAGTCTTTTCTGTTAAGAAACTTGTTAGTTGGTTTCATCCACGCACGCTTTTCTGATTTATCTTGATAGTGGTGTTGCAGCATCACTTCACCACCTCTGACGATAAACGCAGAGGCACAGTACACAAACACACCCGTCACTCACACTAGATACCAGGCTTTGGCAAACTCTCCTCATCATATCTTCTCTTTGGTACAAGTAAAGCACAATGAAACGAAAACGCACGATGTTTGTTTGCATTGGTATCTTGCCGTGGGATCCTGTTTCCAGATGAAGCGCAGCACAGCGTCACCGATGCTCGCTGCAATCTCTCTTCTCGGGCTCACAGCTCAGAACAAATACACACGGCACAAATTGTGTATCTTAAGCCCACAATAGTATTTCCGGCATGACAGACCACCACACCTAATTCGAATTCACTCTGACGAAGGGAGCACACATAGCCAACGGGACTCGGCCCAGTTCGAAGCGAGGGCGGCCATGTTAGGCATGTTCTTTGTCAGCTGGGTCAGCGGCTAGATTGTAGTCTGGTGCGCGACGTGCCCTGAAGTGTGCGTCTATTAGTGGAGGCTCATGTACATCCACTTTTAAGGAGAAAATTCCGCTGCCTTTTTAAGTTGTACTCAGCTATAGTATTGGAAGAAGACTTGTTGACATTAAGTGAAGACGAACTTCTTGACGGATGAAAGGACCAAGGTATAACACATGTGCAACGCATCTCAATCAGATGCAACAACACTGAAATTGCAACAAAGCACTTAATACTCACTTTCAAGTCAATCATTCTACCTCAGACAATCGAAACTGGCTATGTGAAACTTCCTGTGTGTGCGTACATTTCTAATCTAAGATGATGCTTCAAATTCTAGTGATGTGGACATAAATCTCAGACCTGCCACAGTCAGCTGACTTGTGCTAAGTGCTGCAAAACTGGTTATGATAATAGTGAATGCAAACACGACGACATCTGTGTGTGAAGGTAGTTTTCCCGCATACCCGGAGCGTGCCCAGCATGGAAGAGAGAAAAGGCAAATATTTCGGCATGCATGTTGACATTTTGTGGGACGATGTGCGTGTGTACCTGACAAGGAGTTGTCTCCGCTTGGTTGGTGGTGAATCGGTCACTCTGCTGCTGCTAGTTTGAAATATATCTCATCCATAGCTTCATCGATATGGCATGTCTTTTCTTCCATAACATATTGGGCGGAGGTGGAACCTTCCCCGTTCTCGCCACGAAGCTTCACAGTGGCCATACCGCCCAGCCTCCAGCCATGGATTCCAGTGATAACAACCCGTCACTGTCTCCAGCTGGGGCACCAGCCACTACGTACCTTGCGATGTCCCACCCCTATAATACCAGTACGTTTTCCGCCCAACCTGGCCTTG